AAAAAATTCACTCATGGTATGCAAAACAACATAGAAATTAGTTTTTTTATATAATTAATTACTCCATTTAACAATGGCACGGGATAGTTGTCCTTTGAAATCTTAATTCAAATTTCTCTAGATTGAGGGGAGAGGCCAGGGGTGTTCCTGGACGACAACCGCAGCCATAGAAAAATGAATGAATCAAGGAAAGAAGCAACATTTTGTTCGACCATTATCCTTGATTCCCTTCAATTCCCCCCCTTTATTGCGATCATGTTTCGCCTCTTTTGCTTCTTCCTCTAGTGCATGCACTCTGCATATATGTTAGGTTTATCATTTTGTTTAATTACTTGTCATGAGTTCATCTTCTATGATCATACATGCACCGCATTCAATATCATCTTGTTATTCCTCACTTTTATATTAAGACTTTAGGCTAATTTTTATATATATATATATATATGAAGTATACATTCACATATTCAACACGGCTCCAATATACACGTGTTGGCATTCTCTTGATATAACAACGACTATCAACGCATATGCATATATTTTCGGTAAAACTGTTGTGTCATAATTTTCAAGAAGAATTGACCATTAATAATGATAAAAGTAAAACCTTACCCTTACCCCGGTTAATTTGGAGGAGAAAGGAGATTCATGGTTGGCAATGGCAATGGCAATGGCATGCTACTTGTCCAACACTTCAAAATATTTTATGGGAGCAGCTGCTTGCTCAGCTGTATATTATTCTTACGTCTTTCTTGGTATATATAATATATTCACATGTTGGACATCCAATTAAATATATATATATATATATATATATATATATATATAGAGAGAGAGAGAGAGAGAGAGAGAGAGAGAGGAAGGAAGAAGGAAAGTATTGTGTAGAGTGCTGAAATGATATTTGTTCCCAAAAAGGATTCAACATATTCAAAGGAGTAGTTGCATGCCAGATAAAGACAGTTGAAAATTACAGACAGGGTATGCACAATCAATCTAGCTCTAACCCATGTTTACTGCTACACTAGTTGCAACTTCTTCCACTATCTAAAGTCTACTTCTTTGTTCCTGTTTTCTTATGCAAGCAAAGAAGTTGTGGTTTTTGTTATGGACTGGAATTAAAAGAGAAGAAATGACGAGAGAAATAAGAAGAATAGGAGGATTTTCAGAAAAGGAAATTCTCATTCATTCAAAAGATAGATTTTATTCTCGTTGTACAGGTTTTTATTTCTTTACAATTGTACTATTTGATTCTCCAGCTGGCAGAACTATTAACAACCTAATCGTGCGTTTCCTTCTGGTATGGCTTGGGCTTGTTCTAAGGCCTGTATCTCCAATCTTCAAGTCAGCCCGTTCCCTTCTTCATTTTTATCATCCCCGTGCGTATCACGTGCCCCGTGTAATTTCTTCTCATCCCAATTCGCACTTTGCAATCCCTAGCCCTTCTTCCAAATTCCCAATTCGTTCCTCTTCGTGGCCTTCTTCTTCTCGCTCGACTGTTACAGTTTTCTTATCGTATTTTCTTTTATTTCTTCTGCAAAAACAATACTATACTAGTTAGAGTTGTAGCTATGACTTGTGGTGGGATATATGGCTGGCTAGCTCATGTTAGGTTGGAACTTGGAGATATATATATATATATATATATGAGAAGAAGCTTGAAAGAAATCATGTGATAATTTGAGTGAGTTTAGTATTTGACAATGTTCTTTAGCTTATGTCATATAACTATGCAGCTGAGATCTCGCTTGGGTGCTAAAAGGAGAGAAACTATCATTATTAGAAGTTTAGTGTCCTTGCAAGATGACTATTGGAATTAATATATATATATATGTGTATACATTTCTGTTTCAGTCGGTCAATTGCAACAATGCATATGAAAATTATGTTCCCGAAAGTAACATATAGGATGGGAGAAGAACCAGTCATCCCAATTGAATCAGATTTAAAGCAAGCAAGTGTTTCTCCTAAGATTGATTCTGTCATCTACTCCGTAACCCGGACTGTCTCCCACCATATTTGCTTCTTTAACTCTGATGCTTATTGTTGTTCCAAAATTTGAGAGGTACAACTTAATAAATGCTTTTCCAGGAAACTTAATTTTCTTCTCTGGGGAGAGGAAGAAGCTCTAGTAACCAAAATACTACGTCCGGTGCCTGAAAAATTGTTCATCTTGAGTAATTAGAATAGCAGAAAACTACAAAATTTGTCACCCCGCCGCTCCTATTAGTGTACCTTTTTAATGACTATACATACGTATCAAATCCCTCATGGACAGATACCAGTCGGCCATGTTTTTACTTGAAAGTGACTGATGATCACAAACTTAAGAAATGCATAAAAAATGTTGGACTGTTTAGATATCCCAGTGCACTTGCTTTGGGATGATGAAATACCGATCTTCTAGAGGGTCATTTCCAACTCCTTAAAAGAAGGAACATTATATCATGCTAGGTTAAGACTTGTCATATTCCAGAAGAAAGGTTGAACAAATGAGTTAACAATTCGATTAAGAAAACTGGACAGTAGAAATGTCGACTGCTCATCACACAAGAAGCTCAAGTGGAAATAAAATATAATATTAGCTTAGAAAATATTTTAGACTAGTAGATGCTAATAAAGGAAACAGATATATCCGTTAACCACATGCACCATACGTCCAGTTTCCATAGTTCGAACATGGGTCCTAATCTAGAAGGCATGTTTCAAACCATTCTGCTCCCATGCGCCAGTCAATTCCCATATCTCGAACAAGGAGCATACAATCTGCGGGGCATTTAATCATGTTGCAAACATGTTCAACAGCTTGCAGGATTCACAAAACAACAATTACTATAGTTTAAGGTTTTGAACAGGCCACTAGTCTTTGATCAGAAGAATATTCTACTTGAGAGAAGAAAGAAAATTTTACGAAGGCACCATATCAAAGCAAGTTTATCTTTTTAACAAGTCCTATATCAGCCCATCTATGCACTTTGGTGCTACAGTTTCCCTATAATAATGCAATTAAACAGATTATTCTACCATTTACATTAACAAACCAATAAATTTGTCTTCTTCCAGAAGTATTCTGTAACCCTGCCCAATGCAGCAGTCTCGCCTCCCAAAAATCTCATTCCTTTTGTAGTCTGCCACTCGTGGGGATGAAATCACTAAAACGCTAACATTCTCAACGCTTTTTGAATACTAATGTGTATGATAGTATATATGACATGTGAACTTGCCTTTTCCGAGTGAAGGTCAAGTTGCTCAATTGAAGGAATAATTTCCCAATCATCACTACTATGAGGAAGGTGGTCCAAGAGATTTTGGAAGTCTGATGCAACCCCGGGTAGCGCATTTAGCTTCAACAGACTGAAAGTAAAATTCTGTTTACAAACAGCCAATGAATGAGACATCCATGCAATCATTTACACTAGACTAGATTAGACTAGAATGTAATGAACCCAAAATGATTACAAACTAGAATTGTTGCTTACCAAACTTAGTATAAACATCTGGCAAACTGTCAATACTGAATGAAAGGTCATCTAAGTGATACAAAGTGCTGCCCCATAGAAGTTATAGCTTGGGGTTGTGGGTTGAACTTGACCTGCTAGAATTCCTTGAGCAGGCGGTAACACCACCTGTCTCAGACCTCGTGCCACAATCTTTCAACTTGTAGCTCCTCGGAGCAGGTTTCTTTATAAGCATACATACACCTAAAATGGGTGCTAGTTAGACAATGAGACTTACTGCATGTTGGGCTTAGCTGCTATACTAAACGAATGATTATGAAACATATAAGTGGTGCCTAACTGTCATTTGCCTTGCATAGACAGACTTACTGCATATTAGGCTTAGCTCTATACTAAACGAATGATTTCATCTCAAATCCAAATTTATGAAGTATATGTATCATCAATCAATCTGTCAAATCATATGACATTACCCAAAATATAATGTTTACCGAAATTTTCGAAAAGGGAAAGCAGGAAGAAAAGTGATACCTCTAGTCTAAGGGAAACCGAAGTGATAGGTGGTTTGATTTTTGAAAGAGACGGGGATCAATGCAGTAAACAAGCAAAATAGCTTCGGAAGAAACTCAAGCCGTGAACAAAGCCTTGGTGTGTAGTAGCCTCGATCATTCCTAAACCAAACAAGGGAAATCCCTTTTCCATTCCTGTTCACTTTGTTTGATGAGTACCTTTCATAGGTCTTCTCCGCAATGCTGTCCACTTCATGGGCGTCTAGTCCCTGAACATGTTGGAGTGTTGAAGATACATCAGACTGCATTTGGGATTTTTGAAAAAGTGGAGCTCATGATGTGAAAACCAAGATGAAACCTCTAGTTTGTGTTGAAAATGCAAATGTTGAAGACGAACAAGTGAGGTTTTTGGTGTGCAAAAGTGGAGGAAGGAAAAATAACACCCATATGGCAAGTAGTTGGGGGTTTGAGCTTTCTACTTTCTAATTCAAGCTGGCAATGCAAATCTTTAAGCAGTTGAAACCTGGATGCAAATCTGTCGTTGCCTGTTTGTCCTTGAATTAATTTACATAACATAGATTGGTTTACGTTTGCGCTAGCTTTGGTTTGTTTAGCCAACTTGTTTTCCCATTGAAATCCATGTCCCATGGAGCACAACAATGAACAAATCTCATCCATATGATACAGATAAAAGTTGGACAAGGCTGCTTTTCAGGGCTTTCCAAAACAATCAGCTTTCATTTTTTTTTCTTTTCCCCCTTTTAACTCCAAATTTAGAGCTTTCAATCACTAAATGAAAAATACAAGCAGATCCTTGAATATCAAACACACACTCCATTTAAACCTCATTTAACATTCAAGGCAATCCCAAGCCATAGCAAGGGAATGTAATTATCCGAGGTAATCTGTGTACCAAATAAAAGATAATGCATAAGTTTAACTGTACGTGAATCTTTCAGTTGTGGCTACATGATACATTAAAGACAATGCATAAGTTTCATTTGCCGAGTTCAACAGCCTCGTAACTTTGTCTATATCTCTTCAAAATTGTTATGCCAGTCTGTCAGCAGCACACATAATTGCTTTCAATCTAAGTTCATTTGATCTTGGTGCCGAGTGCAAGAATACAAATGTAGGTTCTCAAATAAACTTCAATCTGCACAGGTAGAAGTGAAATGATAGATAGGAAAGGGAAGCACTACCTTATCACAACCAGAGATGCAAAATACGTAAATAAAAGAAGTACAGTGGTACCCAACGTCTGTCAGTTGGTATTGGTTCAACTATGGCAACAGGATCAGCAAATAACATGGTAAAATCAATGCTAAGCTAACAGAAAAGAAGACTGTCCTATTAAGCAATCTAAACTCATTAACTGAGATAATCGGAGTTAAAGTCCAGCATTACAATTAATGACAAACCTTAACAGAAGGTTTCAATTCTTGACCACACCATATTAATAAATAAAAAACTGAAGAGAGGAGGGAAAACATGTCATGCCCAATCATAAGTATCTCATGCATTCCCAGTGGGATGATTTGTTGCATATCAGGATAATGCAATCGCTGAACATATCCATAGCATAAGTAAATAGCATGGAGAAGAGGAAGCAGCAGATAAGGATTTCAGTATTACCTACGCAGCATGCTTGACCTGAAATCAGGGCTAATGATGGTACTTTTGTCCTTTCAGAATAGTCCATGACCTGAAATCAAATGATACATTACCTCCCATAGTTTAAAATCTGGAAATTCTTAAAACACAAGTTGCTGGTAAGCACTAAATGATATGCAGAGAACAGCGCAAGTTTTTCTTTTTTTATTCCATTACTAGTGCCATAGGCAATCACAAAAATACATAAAAATGGGAAGACAAGAGAATAAAGGCGAATAAAAGAAACAAAAAGGAAACATATGATAACACTTCGTCACCCTAAGCCTAAGCAATTCAATCAAGTTTAACCATTTTGACTAGACATTATAACCATCCACCACAAAAACTGTTAACAGAAGAAATTAACAACCACTGGCAATTCATATTGGTTTATATGGTTTTAACTCAATAATATCTCCAATAACTTCCCATCTATAACCAGCTCATGCAACCACGATTGACAAGTCTCTCTCCTCCACTGATTGACCCAAAAATAGAGCAGAAAGCAGCCAGTGAACAAACATAACTCAGAATCACATTTTTGTCAAATAAGCATTTTTTTCTGTTATAACTAACAAATATGATTACGCAATGAATGTTTTTCAACATTTCACAATATTGAATGTATGAGATAGGTAATTGAAGATGGAACTTTAAGTAACCTTTTTTCACCTATAAAGTTGTTCCATGAGCACAACAAGTGCAATTTGATGATTCAATACCATTGAGGACAACTTGATCGACACATTAGCACGTTTTCGGACTTGTTGTCCATGACCATAAGGTCCGCCAATGCAAAATGATAATCTTGAAGCTCCCTTAAACATGTCAAATCGCAAAAATACATGCCATGAATAAGTCATTCTTTTAAACATCAAATTCAAGCAACGTGGAGTTAAAAAGCATGCATCATCACGGAGGTGAATCTAGAGGGGGCTGGCAGGGGCCATGTCCCCTCTAAATTGGTACAATTTTGTTTAAGCTCCTGTAAAATTTACAAAATTATGAATTAATACATAGTAAAATTACAGTTTGCCCCCATAAAATGATAAAATTGAGATTTGGTCTTTCTAAAACAGTGGCAAAAGTACATGTTGACACCCATAAAATTTTATAATTCAAGTTTGCCCCCAGAGAAAAAAATTATGCCGATGCCTTTATCACCAAATTGTAACCGAGGTCAAAAAGTCCCATAATTAGTCTGCCTAGTGCCTACTAATATATTTGCAGCTATAAGCATCTAATGTCGGAAAGTGGTAGCTCAATAGTGGTGGCTAATATTAATCATAATCTCAAGTACTCCTAATAATCATTTCAATGGTTTGTATTCCATACCGTATTCCCAGCATCGCCTAACAATTCAGCCATCTGCTCAGAGCTAATGTCTAGTCCACGCTCATCCAACATCACCACCTACAAAAGATGTAATTTCAAATCAAGGGTGATAGTGTCTAAAAAGGAACTGAAAGGGCAGATATGCAAACAATAAAAGGAAGTTAAGCTGAATGGTTTTTAAGAACATACCCAATCATCAGACCTGATCAGGTTGACGACAGCCATGTCTTCATCATCAACCTGTGCCCTCGCATTGCTACAACAAGTCAAGAAGGAATTCACCCATGAAATTGCAATTCTAAGATGGCATAAAAAGGTTGTTCCAAAAACAAAGACCACTAATTACATCAACGGGTAATAAGGCATAAAGGAAAGACTGTACCGTGCATTCTTAGGATTGGAGCGAATTTGAACATCATCAATATGACAATAACTTTTGAGCTTTGCAATATATTCATCCACCAGCAATTGCACACCAGGGAGCCTAGCCTTTCCTACAGTCAGGATTCTAATTGGTAATGCTCTCTGCCCAGCCCAGCCAATGAAACCCTCAGAGCCATTATATTAATTAATAAACGGTAACCTGACTTGAATAATAAACAAAGGGGAAGTTTTTACCACGGGTTGACCAGCATATTTGCATCCTTTACCTGATAATAGTTTTGACTTGAGAATAGATATTTATAGAAAAGTGTAAAGCAAATATTGGTAGTTTGATTCAGATAAGAAGGAAGAACCTGACGAATAAGGGCTGGAATTCGTGCACTGAAGGGTAATCCCACACGCTGAGATTGGCACTGCCATTGCCATTACTTACCATCACAACCTTTTAGCTCTACTGAAATCTACTCTGTTATAAATAGCGTCAAGAGTAAATTCTGTAACTTGTCTTCTTCCTTTTTGTTCGGAATTACATGCTGTAACTTGTATTTATCGGTAGCAACTAGCAACCAGGGTTCGAACTTCTGACCGCCAAGTTGTGGTAAATGTCAAAGGGTGCAAACGACAGCGTTTCTACGCCGAGTTTTCTTTTTATTTATTTATTCATTTATTGTACAACTATAAAATGACACTTGTATTGGTTCTGGAAAGGTATGTCTGTATCTAGAACCTGCAGGAGAGGAGAGAGGAGGAAGAATCATCATCTTTGGGTGGGATCTGATCTGAGGCGAAGCTTGTCCTTAACATTGATACAGGTGTTTAATGTTCAACTGAACTCAGTAACTAAAGTGTAATCCATATTTCTTTGCATTCTCATTTATGATCTGTTAAATTTTTTATCTGTATTTTGGTTAGCTTTTGTATTTGCATTTGTGTTATATGTCTTCAGTTGTCAGTGTACCAGAACGTTGTTGGGGGAAGACTGAGGCTGAAAGGGAAACCACTCCAAGTTCTTAAAGCTAAAGCCGAAGCAGATGTCATTTCCAAAAAGAAGAGGAAGAAGCGCAAACACCGCTATGCCTCCCACTCCCTGGGTTGGTTCCACTTGCCCTTTGCTTAATTTATCTTCTTCATATTTCACATTTTGTGTTTATCATATAAGTAACTCGTTATGAGTTTGGAGATTAGTAGTGGACGGTGTTAAAATTCTATGATTCAACCGAATGTTCTCTGTAGGCACACTTAAGTGTAGGCTTTAACTGGAAGAGTTGGACTTTGGAGATTAGTTCTGGTTTTTATTGTTCTCTGGAAACTATGAGTTTTTGTTCTGTTTTCCTTCCAAGTCAGTTGCTAACTCGATGCAAACTAGATGTCTTTGTCCTTTTTTAGATAGGAGAGAGAGCTTAAAGTGGCCTCCAAAGGAAATACTCTTCTTTTATTATAGAGTATAGACTAATGAAGTGTATCCGCCCTTCATTTTTGCTTATCTGATGTCTTACGAGTTTATGATTTATTATTATGTTCATCATTTGGAGGTTGACAGAACACAAGATTGTCAACAGATTCCACAGACGGCAGCGAAGCTAATGCTTTTGAGGATCATCTTACTCCAGCGGAGAGAAAATTCCTACAGCGGAGACGAGAACTTGAGCTCCAAAGACTGGAAAAGATGGCGATAAAATCACACCATGATCGCATTCTGGAATTTAACCAATATTTAGCTAATATAACTGAGCATTATGACATTCCTAAAGTTGGCCCTGGTTAATTTGCCTCAACCTGTCATATGTACTTGTTCCAGTTGATTAATCGAACTGAAATGTATTTCAGAGTTAAAGATGTGTCGGTATTGTTTGCCCTAAGACTGTCTAAAACTTTGTTAAAAACATTTCCCAATGTAAAATTGGGTAATCGATTAAGTTTCAGTCGAATCTTGTCAGGTCGGATAAAATTGGATATAGTTCAAGTAAGGTATGTTTCGACTCAGATCAGGTTGGGTTATTTTCATGTTGATTTTACACTAGATATAGTTTGGGTTCAGGTCGGGTTACTTTTAGTTTGAATCGATGTCAATTCAGGTTAAAACAGTTCAGGTCCGGAGCAGTTAAAGATCATGTTAATTCAGGTTCGGATAGACTTCAGGTGAATTTTGTTCAGATCGGGTCACATAATACAGATAAAATTCAGGTCGTGTCTTTATCAGATATGGATTGAGTTCAAATCGTGTCAATTTTATTTTTGGATTAATTATTTTCGTCTTTTGTGAACGTTGAATTGTAATTTGTAATTGTATATGATTTAGTGTAAATTACAAAGAATATAAATAATCATTCTATGAAAAATATAAAATTAAAGATTAAATTGAACAAATATGAAATTAAAAGTAAAAAATTTAAATAGTAACACTCATTTTTTGTATACCTTTTTGTACACAAGTTATTATTTGATAAATTAACCAAATAAATGAGAAAAAATATTTTATGAATTTATATTATTATAAAAATGGCTGATGTGGTATTGAATAAAGCATTTTGTTTGATAATGATAAATGTTATAGTCTTGAAAAAAAATATGAGAGTAATTATTTTTTTAATTTAAAAAAAAAATTATAATCTAAACATATTTTTATATATAAAAAACTCACTCAACACATCCATCCATCCATATTTCCAAAAACTTAAAGTTGAAATTTTTTCCTAAAATATTAAAAATGATTGACGTAGTGTCTTAAGTCAAAACTAGGACTTGATGTTCTGCAAAGCTTAATTATAATGAAGTCATTTGTTGCTATACTATTAGCTTAGTTGATAAAACTAAAGAACATAAGAGTGAATAAAGAAAAATAAAATCTTAAATAGTCTCCATGAAAACAATGTTAAAAGAGAACAGTAAGACAAATGAGAATATTTATTACATATGAGATGAGTTGATAATCCAAACTAACTAGTTATTGAAATGAAATTATAATGACAAATATGGAGGAGCGAGAAATGTATTACAATTGAGAAAAGGGCAGAGAGGATCAATCATAAGCTAGAATCTAAACAAATATACCTCCTGTTCCTAATGATGGCCCTGACTAGGCTGATCCCAAAGTGGTGGAGAGGTCACAATCCAAGGACGATTTGATCTAACTGACTTTTTTTTTTAAATTCTCCCGTTATAACATTCGTTGACTAATATTTTTCGAAGTAGCACTCTTTCAATTGAGGTGGCACAAAGGCGCATCCCCGGGAACGCGCGGTTTATGCTGAGTCGGATGCCACGTGTGAAAGGCGCATCCCAAGGGATGCGCTTTACGTAGATTCTGTTGAGTCAGATGTCACGCTGGTTTTTTTAATAATAAAGATTTTATATTTATTATTATTATAAATTATTAATATATTATGTATCAGTATAAATTATTAATAATAAAGATTTTATAAAAAGTGTTTCGGTTATAATTGTACGATTATATATCTATAATTTTTTTATTTTGATTATCGATCTATTAATTTTATTATTTAATTATTTAAATGTTATCAATCTTCAATACTTACATATTTTATTAATTTAGTCTTAATTTTAATTTAATTTATTAAATTTAATCATCGAATCAGAACATAAAATGTGTGATCGTATACATTATTTTTTTAACTTTTAATTTGTTTAATATAATTTTTTTCTCTACTTAGAAGGTAGAATTATTTTAATATTTTAAAATTAATAATAATTTTTTATAATAAATAATACTAATGATTATATTAAATAAATATAATTAATCATTTTATAAAATTACAATATAAATAATTTATACAATATTAATCAAATATCATAAAATAAATTTTAAATAATAAATTTTTAAAAAAATAAAATTTATTTAGATGTACATACATTGGGAAATTATAGAAAATGCAATTACATTTAAATATTATAAACAAAAACATTCATTTAAATATAATATTAATTACATAAAGGTTAACGGTTATTTGCTGATAACAGAGCTGGACATTTTGTTTCTATTGTGTCCGATGTTTCTACAATGGCCACATCGTTTTTGTTCTGTTGACTTCTCCCGAATATCCATATCACAATGTATTCTAGTAGATTTTAGACGACCTGAGTCCCTCAATAGCAACGGATCTGGTACAATTGTAAGCCAAGTTTGAATCTCATCTGGGTCTCTTTCGTTACCTATGGGAGGAAACTCAAATTCATATACCTTGAATACTTGTGAAAGGTGGTATACGAGATCAACATAATTTTTGTAGTCCAAATGCGAATGTGAGCAAGCTGCAATTACATGAGAGCATGGATATTTGAGTGCTTGAAAGAAACCACAATCGCACCATCTCTCTTGCAGATTAACTCTTAAAGAGTTAGCTTCAATCCCTTGCAGCGGACGTGGCATTTCGGTCACACGAAACAATTCATGGGTACAAGAAAAATTTGTAACCAACATCCCATTTGATGCAACCACTTTTTTCTGTAAATCAGCTACTAGTATTGGGTGGTAAATATGACTGTTTTGTATCCAAGTAAGAGCTTGTCTACCGAGCTTTACAAAGAGTTGACCCAAACGAAAATAAGTTGTTTTGACCAACGCCGTGACTGGTAAATGACATGCCCCCTTTAAAGTTGAATTTATTGCTTCAGCCAAGTTGGTTGTCATATGACCATAGCGATACCCCCTGTCATACGCATTTGTCCACATTTCTTTGTTGATATCCATAATGTACTCGCACCCCTTCTTATTTTTGCGAAACAACTCTTGTAGCATAGACTCAAACCTTTGAGGTAAGAGTTCGTAACCTAAGCCATTAGGAATAAGTAATAGTTAATATGAAGTATAAATAAGTAATACGAAAATGATAGAAAAATTGGAAAAAAATAACACGACTAACTGACGTTCATCGTTCTTCTTGTATTTTCCGTAATAGTTTGCATCAATATGACGGACACAATAACGATGTTGAACATGTGGAGGTCTATACATTATACCCAAAGAGTTCATTGCTGCTTTTATCCCGGCTCCTCGATCTGAAATAATGCATACTCATTCCCTGGTGACAATATGTAAACGTAAATTTTTAAGGAAAAAAGCCCAAGAATCAGTGTCTTCTCCTTTAATGAGGGCAAACGTAATAGGAAAAATATTGTGGTTTCCATCTTGGACCACAGCCAATAATAAAACTTGCTTGTATTTTCCATACAAGAAAGTGCCATCAATTTGGACAACTGGTTTACAGTACTTGACTGCATTAATACACTGAGGGTAAATCCAAAAGACGCGGTAGAATTGGCAGCGATCGCGAACCACTCGATCATTCACGTAATGATGTTGAGTTTCGAATTCAACAATCGTCCCGAGATTGAGTCTTTGCACAATATGAAACCAACTGGGCAGCTCGTTGTAAGAGGAATCTCATTCGCCATGAAGTCTGCAAATGGCATTATGTTTTGCCAACCAAGCTTTTTTGTAGGAGACGGTATACCCATATTGTGACTGTATAACAGAAATCAACACTGCAACAACTATATGAGAGCTTTGCTTCATAATGGGCATGATTGCTTGGCAAATAATGTTGGAGTCCAAGTTGGGATGATCCTGGTTTATACCTCTTGCACAACATGTATGAGGACCGTTGTATCTGGTTAGTTCCCATAAGTTGTTCTTCATCTTCCTCTTTGATACACGGACCATCCATTGACATCCGTTGTCACGTTGGACGCAATAGCAGACATATTTCTCCGTGGTAGATCGATGAACTCGGGAGTGAACTGAGTTACGAATATTGTAACTCTTTATTGCCATCATTGGTTCCTCCTTCGATGCGAACTCCATTCCAATACGTAAATCACCGTCATTGACTGATGACTGAAGTTTATAGTTGCCAACATCAGGGAGATCCGGAAATTCTGGCTGATACATTGCATCATAATCAGCCCCATACATATAAGCAGGAAGTTCGGCTGGTGTTGTATTTATCGGGATATCATCCTCATCATCATTAGAATGCACGTTAAATTGTGGTGATTCAGGTTCAACGAATAATTCCGTTTCAGTACCTGGCTCCCAAAGAGGTTCTTCTGGTGGAGATGATGGTTCCTCCGATAATCCAATGTTAAGGTCAAATAAGTTCCCGCTTGAGTGTCCTCCCCTTGAACTTGAGGTCATTGTATCATGTGGGATGTGAATAGACTGCCGTCTCGATAGCATTTTCATATGTAAGTTGAAAACATTGGCAGATGAATGTCTGCCCCTTGAAGTAGAAGAGATGTTGCCATATGGATTATTGGTGAAGCCAAGTGGGTTTAGATCATAAGCAGTTGCTGATGAATACCTTCCTATTGAACTTGATGGCATAGAATCTGGCGTTGGATATGCCATTAATGATGTGAAATCATTACAGATCAGTTGTGTTGGGCTATCAACTTGATCAACATGATATGCAATGTCAAAGTGAGAGGAATATGAGAGACCACGAGAAGCACGAACCTCAATAAAAGTGGCATACATTTTAATAAGAGATTGTGAACTCCCCATATGAGCATCAACCATCATAAAAACATCATCATCGCTGGAAAGCTGAAATGATGTATACGTGAGTGGAAAAAGTTCAGTAGGAAATCTATACTGAAGTGAAGATAGTCTTCTCCGGCCAGCTAGACGAATCTTTAACAAAATTTTTATGATTAACTCCTCAAGAGTGATGTTTCTCTTCAAGGTTAAGGGGATATAATGATCTGACTCAAAAACAACCCCCTCTTCAGCTTCCTTAATTTCTCCATCATATAAAACAACAGCATAAAGACGACTCATTTTCAGAGAATAGAGGATTGATATTTTTGAGA